TTTTTAAAACAATTCGTTTTCTCGAACACATATACTGATACATATATATATATATATGATACTGTCTGGGTAAAAGAATAAAATGTCCAACCATTAAAACCCCATTGGAGGGGCCCTTTTGTTGTTGTCTTGTCTATCCCCCCACTGCAACGGGACAACAGCCCTGCACTAGTCACTCCTGAAGCTGACTAGACTATACACCTGTGCTCTCCTCTACACATTGGACCCTTACCTTTGGGGTTGGCCCTTGCAAGGTTTTCCCATGTGATGAATGTTATCAGAGAGCCATTGCTGGGACCTCCGCACGGCCATGCTTTGTATCACGCACACACCAACAGGTCAGGTGTTACATCGGCTCATACACTCCCAGGTTTGCGAGGTTGCTGGTAAGCAATACTAGAAGTCCCAGAGTAAGGAAAACAATGCAGGCTACGTTTGTCATGCAAAGTGGGGCGATGGGTCTTGTCTTGGGAGTATGTTTGATGTTGCCCTGCCTGGTCCCCTTGGTATTGTGGTCCACCAGGACCATTATGGAGGCCACTATAGAGAGAAAAACAGCTGCCCATGTAATGATGCTATGAAAATACAAACCCCCAAATCAAGATGATGCTCTTTGACCCTAGGGTCCGGAACCAAAGGGGGAATAATGTAGAAGGGAGGAGGGCCAAAAAAAAACCCAAACAAACAAGTCTGTGTTCTGATAATGTAGCGGGGGTTGGGGGGGAGGCAAGGCAGGGAGATAAAAAAAGTTAAAAATCTATCGTAAAGGTCACATAAGTACTGGAGGTAAAGTAGCCAATGGAGTTACACGCAACCACATATGGATTAAGCCTTGCTTTTTGCTCTGTAACTTGCTCGCAAGGGTGAGACCCTTTTGTTCTCGGGGCTCAGCCTTAGGATGTGAATCCGCTGAGCCGCTGCCAGCACACTAATCAATATCACTTCCTGAAAAGCCTTGGTGTCCTGAGTCTCTGTTGAGTTTCCCGTGACAGCATGGACCACCATACCCACCTTATTGCTTGAGATGCAGTCTCAAGAAGTTTTTGCCTGGGCTAGCCTCAAAAAGTGATCCTCCAGATTTCCACCTCCTGAGTAGCTGGGATTACATATATGGGCCACCTCACTAAATCCTACTGGCTGTTTTCCCCAGGTTTTAGTATCTGTGACCCAATGTGGCTGGCAGCATCTTAGATTCTATGCAGATAGCACAGTCCCTGCCTGTGAAAATCTCCACACTCATGCTATCTGAGCAGGGTCCATACATAGCCCACAAGCTTCTGCTAGGCATTTCCTGAAAGGGGCTGAAAACTGTCAGTGTGTATTGCTTCAGCTCAGTAGCATCTCTCAAGGACTGAGAGCCATTGCTAAGAGTGTAGCCATCAAAAGAATACACATCAGTCTCTAAGACTCCATGCAAGCTCAGAAGCCTGGCTTTGATTATTATTAGTCCATAAACACAGCTGACTCAGTCTCCTTCATACTAACCATGCTTTGTGCTTTCTACCTCTCTGACTTTGAGCCCCCACATTCCCCCTTAGTTACTTGCTTTTACTTAGCTTTAAAAAAATCATTTATTTTAGGGTTGGTACAGCTAAAGTGGTAGAGTGCCTACTTAGCAAGCACAAGAACACAAGATCCTGAGTTCCAGCCCCAGTACTGCCCCCTGCAAAAGTAATAATAATCACCAATTTTGGAGGTTATCCAGCTGAACTAAGTACTATTCATTGTTCTAAAGATAACATCGCTGATGTGTGGGCTATATTGATAATGGTTGCCTAGGTACTTTTCAGGGACTTAAAGGCCATTTTATTGAAACCACTGACCCTCCACTTGGGCCCGTGTGGATGTAAGACAGTGACTTAACATCAGGAGATCAGGCTGAAGCCACCACTGTCTGAACATGCGGTCCATGGAATTTGGGCACATGTGCACACCACTGATCAGTCCACCTCCGATCACCTTTCCTCAAGCCTTTAACCACCTGCTTCTTTTACCCCATTAATATCACCAAGCCCTACCCTCAGGGAAGCAGATGTGAGACTTGGTTTCCCTACTCCTCACACTTGGCCACCTTAGGAATAAACTGTCTTGGGCAAAACTCCTTCCACATGCATACGGCAAAGCAGGCCTGGTTTGGTAACTGTAATGAATCAACACTGATCCATACAGTCTGTATTCTAGTCTCTTGGAAATTGAAAGAGGGCTGGTAGAATGGATCAAGCAGTAAAAATTGAAAGAAACAACTTCAATTTCTCCAATTACACAATCCCTCAACTACTGACAATTAAAGACATTTGTTCGAAACAAAGCTTTCTCAAATGTCTAAACACAGCAACATGTCACAAATCTTCCTTTCCCCTTGAGTCTCAGAATGTCACACTGTAGCTAAACTGTGGTTCAAGCAGTAGAGCACCTGTCTAGCAAGGGGGAAGTCCTAAGTTCAAACCCCAGTACTTACTGCCAGGAAAACAAAAAACAGAGCATAACACTATAGGAAGCAAAAAAAAGAATTCTAGTATAAGACAAGCATGTTACTAAGCAAAGGAAGTGACTATGTAGGATCCTTTTCTTGGGGGTGGGGAACTTGAACTTGCTAGCTCTACAACTGGAGCTAAACCCCACAGCCTTCTTTTGATTTAGTTATTTTGGTTTAGGGTATTGTTTTTACTTGGGCCAGCCTGGACTATGATTCTCCTGTCTATGCCTCCCACATAGCTGGGATGACAGGGATGCACCACCATGTCCAGCTGTTGGTTGAGATGGGGTTTCACTAACTTTTTGCTGGTCTCAAACCTTGTTCCTCCCAGTGTCTACCTCTCTAGTAGCTCGGATTTCAGGTGTGAGCCAGAACACCTCTCCCCCCACACCTTTTTTATTTTTTTTTAAGGCAGTACTGGGGTTTGAACTCTGGGCTTTGTACTTGCTAGGCAGTTGCTTTACCACTTGAGCCATGCCTCAAGTCTCCTCCCCCCGCTTTTTAGAGGCAGTGTCTCTATGTAGGCCAGGCTGATCTTGAACTTGTTATGTTGCTTAGGCTGGCTATCAACTCATGATGGTATTCTCTCAGCCTCCCTACTGCAGGGATTATAGTCATGCACCACCACACTGACCTATACAGGTTCTTTTAAAAGCAAAATGTTGTGGCTGGGGGTGTTGCTCAATGGTAGAGTGCTTGACTAGAATGCATGAGGCCTGTGTTCCATCTCCAGCTCTGCAAAAAAAAATGTTGGCTCACTGGTAAAAAGAGAATTGGGAATAAACTAATAAAATGCAGGGGTTGTCTGACATGGTTGTATTTGATACCCTATCCTGATTTCAGTTTTACACACACACACACACACACACACACACACACACACACACACACACACATACACACACACACACACACACACAGCATCAGAGTAAAGACTCTGTAGAGAATCACCTCACTTATTCAGACTACTGGAGAAAGGTAAGTAAAATTTCCAGATAAATGAGATCTGCTCTTTGAACATAATGCCTTTTCTATTGTAACCGTTCTAGCAGGAATCTTCTTGGAACTTGGTGTTCCCTTCACTGGTTGTGCTTTCACTAATGACTCCAGGGCATTTGTGGCTGTGTGCCTGGACACTGTCGTTCATGTTGTTCTCATGTATACATTTTGTATTTTCAGTCTCCTCCCTCATTCCTGAATTGCCACTCGTCACTTTCTCCTATTGCTGGTATGCCTACTACAAAAAACTCCTCTCTAAATGATTTTTGACCAAGAAAGCAGACAATTTAAATTTATTAGAAATCTACTTAAGAGTAAACAAATTACTGACTGAATAAATACAGAAGGTTTGTAACTTCAGGAAATAACATATAATCTCAGCTATAAAGTAATCTATTTTCCCAAGAAGATATAAAATTTTTATGACCAACATATACATCAGCTTTTATAGATATAAAAAAACTTGCCTATTCATATTATTTATTTTATTTCTAATTAAATATTACATACATTTTTTTTGGCAGTACTGGGGATTGAACTCAGGGCCTCATGCTTGCTAAGCAGGCACTCTACCACTTGAGCCATACCTCTAGCCCTTTTTGTGTTGGTTATTTTTGAAATAGGATCAAATTTATGCTAGGGTCAGTCTGAACTACCTCCTATTTGCGCTTCTCTGAGTAGCTGGGATGATAGGGCCCATCATGCCCAGCCATTGGTTGAGATGGACTCTGTAGCAAGTACCCAGGATTACAGGCTTGAGCTAATCCACTTGGCCCACTTTTTTTTTAAATTCGCCTCCCAAGTATAATGTGATCTGTAAAATAGGACACCTCTTGTATTACTTTCTTAGTGGTATTTTTCAGGCTCATCAGTCCTGACATCTAACACAACCTCATGAGCTCAGACCCCTAAGGACATTTGCTAAGTGAGGGCTAATGCTTGCCTCCTTGCCTCCATACTCCATCAGGTCCCTCTGTACATATTCAAAGTGGACTTTGGCCAAGGTCATTTGAGGCAAGCAAGCTTTCCTAAACAGTGCTTAACTGTTCAAGAGAAAGGAAACAAATGAATTCCCTGCAATTGGAGAGACAGTGAGAAATCCAAACAGAGGGAGGCTCCCTCCCTTGTATGGGCTCTTCTGGGGAAAACCCTGCCATGTGTTGAGTATAGTAGAATGCTGAGCAAAGGCAGGACCAGAGAGAAGGACAGCATACGTGCAGTGGCCTGCGTGAGGCTTGAGCTGTGGGTGCTCTGCCAAGCAGCTGTTCCTGCTGCCTTCAGCACCTGTCTTGCCCAAATTGCAGGGTCACTCAGAAGGCGCATGGCTGCATTTCTTGTCTGCAGTCATGGTCTAAGTAGATGACACTGCCAGAAAATGCATCCCCATGAGTGAAGTGCATACTCACATGTTACATACTTACATACTGACTACAGTGACTAATGATGGGAAGAACGACAATGAAACGTATGTGAGCTACAAACTCAAAAGAAGAGTTCAGATTAGCTTTCAAAATATTCTACATACCTCTTATTAGTTCATAAATATTCATGTCCATAAGTTCACATATTAGTGCAAGAGAACCAGATTTTCTGTCACTGAAGAAGAAAGCAGGTTTTAAAATTTTTCTTGTCTTAATTAGAAAGTATAATCAAATATTTAATTCATTTGTACACATTTCTGGTAAACATAAGGTACCCCCACATCAGACAAATACTGCTGTGTAGTATTTTGGTTTTAAATCAATACTTCAGTTAAAATTAATTTAAAACACTACTAAAACCCTACTTTAAGCAAAATTCTAAAGGTCCTAGTCCTTTTTTTTTTTTAAAAAGGTATGTCTTAAAAATATAAAATTAATTGCCAGCAGTAAGAGGAAAAAAGGTTGGAAACTGGTTAAACAAAACAATGAAGTAACAATGAATTTAATCCCTGCTCTGTGGCTGCGTATTCAGTTTTAATTTACCTAAATTAAACTTCCATGTACTTAGGATAATTTATAGCGGGAGAGCAAACACTGAAAACCACTCAGGGAGAGAAGAGAGACAAGTTACACCTCACTCCCATGCTTCCCAGGCCTGACACTAAGTGGGGACAGAGGCTTAGGGCTGAGCCACCAAGCTGCAACTGACTTACTCAGACTATGGGGACAGAATAGGAGCTATGCCACTGCAGACCCTGCTCTGGTGCCTCCAGGCAGCCTGGCTGGGTCCTCTGATGCAACTGCAGGCCCATGTGAGATTCTGGGCAGAAGAGCTTTATAAAGGCCATGTGCAGCTCACTGTCCTGGTGCAGCCCCATGACTGTGACATGCAAAGTGTGGTCTCTGGACCCGCCCCAACTGACTTCTAAGAACCTGCAGACCGGGAGGCCTAGCTGTGACAAGACATATTGTTTTGAGTTCAAAAGTGTTCCAGCCTCTGACTAAACTCTATTGCACTTTAATTGGCAGAGACTGCGTTCCTTGGTTGATAATACAGGGCAGATTCCCTTCGGAGTCCCAGTGCGGCTTCCACCCTGAGGGGCTCCTTCCCAGGGTGGCAGTGCCCCAGCCTACAGAACAGCCGGGGAAAAGGCCAGTTGCTTCCGGGGCGGTACCTAGGGACAAGCCATGCTTTTTCTTCTTCCGCTTTCTGTTGTTGTTGTTGTTCCTCTCGCACTGGAATATGGACTCAGGGCTTGGACTTGCTAGGCAAGCACTCTACCACTTGAGCCACACAGCCAGCTCCCTATTCTGCCTTCTTGAATGGCAGGTAAACCTTACGGAAACTGCTCTATAATTAGAATAGAAATAAAAAATGCCCGGAAATCATATCAGTTATAGTAAGCAAGGCTACAGGAGACTGGCAAGGACAAAGAGAGAACACAATCCCTAAAATAACGCAGTCGTGCCTTCCCAGGAGGACATAATTCACATCAAGTTCTGGAGGCCTAACTGAGCTGCAGGGGCCAAACCGCAAATAAAACACTTTTATGGCATAGGCTCACCTAAGCCACGGCAGGGCCATATTAAGAATCAGATACATATTTGTCTAAACAAAAATCTGACATACAATGAAATGAAAGTTGTTACTCTGTGAGCGAGCTACTAAGCAAATATTTTAAGTGTCTAGCCATGGTTTTCCTAAAAAGAGATTTAATCATTACCATCAAATTTTCAAATTTAGATAATTTACCAAGCTCCAAATATACTTACAAAACCACTTCATGCAGCGTAAGAATGTTTGGGTGTGGATTCAGGCATCGCAGAGCTTGTATCTCTCGCAGATTGTTCACTTGCTCAATACTATTGTGTTGTAAAAATAGATAACTAATTTACAATTAGGTCAACTTTAAAATTAGAGTTATTAACTCATGTTCACTATCCATAACCAAAATGTAAGGCCTCACTAATATTTCAAACAAGTTAATCAGGTTTTATTTTTCCCATTAGAAATTGAAAGAAAGCACATTTCTGCATTATCTTATAAAAACCAAAGTTCTTTTTTTTTTTTTTAATTTTCCCCCAGTACTGGGGGTTGAACCAAGGCTCTCACACATGTTAGGCAAACACTCTACCACTGAGCTACATCCCCGGCACCCAAATCCAGGTTTTTACAGCTTAAAACAACATTAAGCTGGGCACTAGTGGCTCACACCTATAATCCTAGCTACTCAGGAGGCAGAGATCAAGAGGATCGCAGTTCAAAGCCAGCCCAGGCAAACAGTTTACAAGACCTTATATCGAAAAAAACCTTTAGAAAAAAGGGCTGATGGAATGGCTCAAGGTGAAGGCCCTGAGTTCAAGCCCCAGTACTGCAAAAAAAAAAAAAAAGAGACAACATTAAAATGTTTCCCATCTAATATGAAAAAATCTTTGCTAATTTCTTTTACATATAATGAACATAGAAATAGATGAAAATTTCTGATTAAATTTATTGATAAGGAGATGGGGTGTGGCTCAAGTAGAAGAGAACTGCCTAGCAAGCGCCAGGTCCTGACTTCAAACCTGAGTACCACCAAAAAATTATTAATGATTAGGATTAATAACTAAAATTAAGTAATCAATTTATGGGAACAAATCAACAAAAGAAGGCATATACTGTCTGAAAACAAGTATTTCAAAGTTCCAGGCACAGACCATCCTCCTTCTTATCTTTGACAAACTTTGTACTTTTTTACCACTCCATTTACCGGGTGACAGGTATTCTCTTAGTAGGTGTGTCTTACCACAGGCTCTCCTGTTTCTTTTGGTGGTGGTACTGGGATTTGAACTCATAGCCTAATGCTTGCCAGGCAGGTGCTCTCCTGCTTGAGCCACTCCGCCAGCCCCCACACATTCTTCTTTATGAAGTCTACTCTGCCTGACACTGTGCTCATGTCCCAAATCAGACCAACACAAGTGCAATCAGGCACAGAGCCTGTAGCTAGCTGTCACTGTCCTCTTGAGAGAACACCTATAAGATAGCTTCCCTTGCTGGGCTGCAGGATCACACCTAATCAAGTGACTCAATGCTCCATGGAGGAACTAACTGTGGAATTATCCTTCTTTCCTTTAGCTGGCAAAATTCTACAAACTTTTAACATGTGAAAGGCTCAGCACTTTGTTTGGTTATTCAAAGAATGGTTATACCCAAGAGCAAATTACTATAGCTTTTTTTTTTAGTCTGGATTAAAAAAAGGGTTTATTGAATCACTACAGATTCTACCCTGAAAAACAACCAGGTCCTGGGACAAGTTTCCACAAATACCAGAAGCAGTGTTAAGCAGCAGTTAGAAAATTTCCTCATTATAATTTTAAACCAGTATGGGTAAATATTTTAAGTCATTCTCATACTAGCCAACAAATGGGCGTGTGATGCAGAAGAACAGACTGAAGATAGCACAGTCTGAGTGTACAAGTATTTCTGACTGTCCTGGCAAGGTGGCACATCCCTGTCATCTCAGCTATGGAGGAATAGGTAGGAAGATCACAGTCCAGGCTGCAGTCCAGGCTAGCCCCAGGCAAAAGTGCAAGACCCTATCTGGGAAAAAAAAAAAATGAGTATTTTTGACTTAAAGTTTCATGACCTTCCTGTTTCCTCCCTTACACTCAGGGGAGTATTAAAAATCCCAGCAACTTGCACACCATGTCAACAAGTGGTCCATGAGAGCAGCCCACATGCTGGAGATGGGTCCTCAAGGAGGCCAGGCCGGACTAATGTTCAGGGAGGTCTGGGGTGCCTGGCAAGGGGACCAGGTGCCACATGGGAGGCATGGCACAGCAGCTGTTTACCAAGTGGACTGTGAGCCATTCAACACCCCAGTGTCCAGTGTGGCAGCACTGGTGTGTGCCCAGGGACCAGACTGTGGCCCTGAGATTGATTACATCTGGTCATGGCTCCTTGGCTGATTACCCAACTAGCAGCACCCTGCTCATGGCACACTGCCTCCCTAAATCTTCTAGAATAAGGTTCCCATTATGTGTCTCCCAGAACCTGACTTTTCTGGAAAATACTTTGCAAAGAAATTTCATGTCCAAAAGCTTGAGAAATGGCCCACTTCTAGTCTCTCTTGAACAGCCAGAATTTACAGTTAATAGCAAAAGCTTTCAAAACAAAATAAAGAAAACTGTTTAGCTTTATTTAAACCAACATCTCCTGGATTCCTTGGCCCCAGAATCCCTTCATCACACACTATCTAGTTACCATTCTGTAGAACTAGGGTTCCTTAGAACACCCCCCAGACCATCTGCTGAGTAATATGTAGGAAATAGTGTTTTTTCTTGGGGGAAGGGAAGGTAAACAGAGATAAAAAAAAAGGAAGAAAAAGTTGCTGCAAAATCTTTCTTGGGGGGCGTTTATACAATTGATCACACAGCATCTTTTGATCCCCTTCCCTGGGGTCTAGATGGGAAAAAGTGTCAAGGCTCTTTTTTTTTTTTTACAGTACTGAGGCTTGAACTCAGGACCTTGAGCCAGTCCACCAGCCCTTTTTTTGTTATGTATTTTTGAGACAGGGTCTTGCAAACTATTTGCCCGGGCTGGCTTCAAAGCTCTATCCTCCTGATCTCTGCCTCTGGAGGATTACAAGTGTGAGCTACCAGAACCGGGCATGACAAGGCTCTTATTTGTGGTCCCCCATGTGCAGGGACCCCTGACTCAGGACAAGACCAATGAAGAACCCCCACCACTCCATGTGGGCACAGTCATGTCTCTACCCATGGCATGCTTAAGATCCAGAGACATTTTAGTTGTCACAGTTTGGGAAAGGAGTGATACTGGCATCCAGGAGTAAAAGCCAGGATGCTGCTAAACACCTACGACACAGAAGCAGAAGAAATAAACCAGGCCAAATGTCAAGAGCTGAGGCGGAGTTCCTGCTCTATGCAGAGAACAGGAAACTAACTGGAGATGGCCAGCATTCTAATTCTTGAATACCTTGTCTGAAAAGAATAGTTTTTAGAACTGCACAAAGAGCCATGCTTTTAATCAAATATCCACTCATTTTATCTGTAATATGAAAATCAGCTATAATACCCTGAAACACTTTGCTTATTGCAGAAATAATTCTTCTGTATTTCTACCCACATTCATTGAGGAAATAATGAACTGAGACAAATATTTAGAGTGGTGTATTGCTACACACAACTATTCAAATACTAATGCTTAATAAAATTCAAATCAACTCTGTCCCGTTCTTAAAAGAATCATGAAAAATCTGAACTGTAGGTGTGGCTCAAGAGGTACAGAACTTGCCTACGAAGCCTGAGGCCCTGAGTTCAATCTCAGTACCACCCCCCCCAAAAAAAAATCATGAAAAATCTAAAAATACTGAGAGTAATCACTTTTATCTTGAGCTGCTTTGAATTTTGTGGTCTGGCAATATTTAGTTTTTTGTTTGGTTTCTTATAGTTCCGTTAGAAACAAAATACCAAGAGAAATGTAAGCAGTCATTGCTTCAAAAAGAACCAGATGAGGGCAGGGTATGGTTGCACCATACCTGTAATCCCAGCTACTGAGGAGGGGACTATCAAGAGGATTGAGGTTTGAGGCCTGCCCGGGAATCAATAAACCAGTGTGCCGGCACACACCTCCCAACTATGTGGAAGGCTATAGATAGGCCAACAGAGGTCTGAAGCTGGCCCTGGGCAAAAATTTTAGACCCTACCTGAAAAATATCCTAAAGCAAAAAAGGGCTGGAGGTATGGCTAAAGTGGTAAAGCACTTAGCTAGAGCAGGAGGCCTTGAATTAAATTCCCGGTACCAACCCCTCCCCCCCAAAAAAGAACCAAATGATATCTACCAGAAATGGAAAATCTTTTACAACTAAAAGCAATTATAATTAGCAGCACTTTAAAATGTTTTTAGGGGGCTGAAGGCATGATTCAAGCAGTAGAGCACTGCCTAGCAAGCACAAAGCCCTGAGTTCAAACCCCAGTATTGCCCCCCCACCAAATTTTTTTAGAAAGATCAATTACGAAATTTCAACATTTCACTTTTATTGGAAAGATTTTATGAAAAATAAGTGTACCTAACCAATACAATCTATAGGAAGAAAGTCCTCATTAGGGTAAAAGGGTAAAAGAAGTACATTAACATCAGACAAAATCAACTACAAAATAAGGATTATTGATACTGATGATTTCACAATGAAAAAAAGGGTCAAAACATCAGGAAGGCATGACCACCATAAACACTTATGTGCTAAATAACAGAGCTTCAATATTTATGTATAAAAAGGCTGAGTTGGAAATTTTAATACCCCCATAATTAACAGAACAATCTTTCAAAAAATCAGATATACAAGCTCCTAACAGCATTATTAACCATCTTGACCTAATTGACGTTTCTAGAATACTATATACGGAACACTTACCCAGACATTCAATGTGCTGGGTTAAAAGATAACTCTGGGCCAGGTTCAGTGCTCATTCCTGTACTGCTACTCATAGTACTAAACCTGGCTACTCATGGACCCAGAGCAGGAGGATTGCGGTTCGAGGCCAGCCCAGGCAAAAAAGTTTTCTAGACTCCATCTCAAATATTCAGGAGGCCCTAGGTAGGAGGATCGTGGTCCAAGTTTGGCCCTAGACACTACCTGAAAAATAACTATAAAGCCAAAAAAAAGAAGAAGAAAAAAGAAAGAAGAAAAAAAAAAAAAAGAACTAGGGGCGTGATTCAAATTGTAGAGCGTCACATGTATGTAAATGGAAAAATGAGACCTGTTGAAACTATTCCAGGAATGAGGGGAGGGGGGATAAAGGAGAATGATGGAGGGGATGAATTCAACTATGATATATTGTAAGAACTTTTGTAAATGTCACAA